TTGGTGTTCTTTTATTTAGAAAATCAATTATTCGAATCAATATTTGGTATTCCGTATTGAAAAGCATTTTTTCTATGTTATTTATAAGATGTGTGTTCCTTCTTATTTTCTAAAGTCGTTTATTCAAAGGAAGCCAACTTTCGTATGTTTATAACTTATTCTCAACAGTTGTCAGATGGTCGAAGGAAATCTGTTTGGCAGAATTTATACAAGAAAGTATGTTTCGTTTTTAAAATTCTGAAAACTATCCAGTACTATGAGTAGTTCAAACTGAAAATGCCCTTAAAACCGTATTAAGATGGTCTATTTTGAAATGGTGATGAGATAATTTTATCCTTTCAAGTATTGTTGGTTAATAAAAACAAATTTGCAGCAAATTTGAAGAAAAGAGTTTTTTATGTGAGAAACATTTTTCGCATCTCATTTTTTTAACGTCACTCGGACAACTATCAAATCTGTCAACTAGACCTTTTCAATAAGTTATCTTTAATTCAGAACATAGAAAATATTAACTATGGTGAATCTTTTTCCTTCACTTTAATTTTAAATCGGTTTAATTCGGTTTGGTTGCAGTAAAACAAAGAACCAATCTAAATACTGGATTATAAACCACTTCTTCCAAAAAAAGTACTAAATCAAATTTTTCATCTAACCAAAACTAAATCGGTCAATTTGTATATATTTCAACCTATTTCTTTAAATATGAAGCGGTCAAACTTGACTTTTCACTTCGTTCATAATATCAATGAAATCTGTTTTGATAATCAGTTAAATAGTAGAATAATGTAAAAAGAAGAATACATTTTTGTGAAATCATATATGGATAACAAGAGAATTTAAAAAGAACATAACAATTTTCTATCAAAATCTAATCATAATTGTTCGTAATTTTGATTAGATTTTTGACACAATGAACATAAACTTGAGTTTCCTCGTTGTATTGAATTTTTCGTTCTGTACATGAATTAAAGCTGATTTTATTGTACTAGATCTTTAAATATAAGAATGAGTACGTAAAACACGTAGAAGAATTTGAACTAATGATGCTAAACCCTATAAAACTTGGACGAAATCAAAATCAGTTTCATTATTAAGAAAAAGACGCAGTAAGATTCTTTTTATTTCATTTCCATATCATAAAAAAACTACGAAATATATTTAGCAGATAATTTGACTAGCCTAATGCATCGGGTAAAATTTTAGATAAAACATGAGCAAGAATTTTTTCGATCATCACTTGATTTTCATTTTGATAAAACTGTACAGTAATTTTCACCATATTTCAAATTCTTAAGATCATCAACAAGTATTCAAAAAACTTGTTCCAAAACTAGTAGAACAATGAAAAATAAACATTTCGGAAATAAGACTTCGCCATATAGAGAAGTTATTTCAATTTTGTAATTGATTTGTTTGATTGATTCTATTTAAAACACTGAATACGATAGGGAGATATTCTTAATAAAATTGTTTTAAAGTTTTGAGACAATTTATTGAATCCTCAGTTCTCATTAAAAACAACTCTTAATTAGACAACCGAACAATACACTTAATTTAGAACTGTTGGTTCAATAGTGAAGATCAAAAAACTAGAGTTATTATTTTATCAATTTCTCGAAAACTTTATTCTATTACTTTTAATACTAATTCTTCTTCTTTCTGTTCTAATAACTCTGTGTCAGTAAACAATTCCAATGATTAATCAATATTTCTTTCAATTATATATTGTGCAATAATCTACACACCAAAAAATGTATCATATTCTACATATCGATTGCTTGTTGATATTTTCCATGGTAGGAATAAAGTATGGGTGCAGGACTAAAATGTTGTGAATCAATAGGAATTTTACAATAGACAACTTGAATATATGAAGAATTGGTTTAATTAAGTTACACATCGATTATATTTCGAATAGATAATATGAAAGTATATTCAAGAATGGTTCCAATAGAAGAAACAATCCAAAAATATGATCGCATCAAGAACGATCGTAAACAGTGGCGGGCCAGAATCAAAATATTTGGTGTGGCAACAGTAATTTTTTGCTATGGCAATCGCATGAAAAGTCGTTTCCCTCAACTTTTTTTTGTCCAATTATCAATTATTTTGGACTTTTATGGTGTGGCAATTGCCACACTTCGCCACCACGTCGATCCACCAATGATCGTAAATCAATTATTGCGACCTTGTTCTGCATGAAACACTTCTCCTGAAGAAGATCGTATTGGTAACCATCAAGAGCAAAGTTATGACTATTTTCATGAATTTTCAATCGATTCTCAGTTACTTATCCAGAAACCAAAGAGCAGAATTTTGTCCGTAGACATGTTTAGTGATCCCTGGAATAGTCTGAAATTATTTATCGAGACATTGACTTTCGAAATAAACTCGACTTTTAGGACATGTCTATGCCAAGTAGCAACATCTTTGTTGAAAATTTAATATCTTTACAAACGAATATTTCAAGGTTCTCTAAACTTATCTATAGACTAAATTGATTTCGGATTTTCCCAAATAATTCTTGGAAAATTCAGCTACGCAAAGTTCTTTTACCCTAGCTCTTGAAGCTGATTGACATAATTTTTCCTTCCAGTTACAAAGTAATCTTACTGATTGAAGAGAAAATGCAGCTGATTTTTTTCTTCTCACTTCATGACAATATAAATGCATGTGATCCAATAAACTTTATGCACGAACAACATTCATTGCAATAAATTCAATACATCCTTTTTGTTGATAAAACAAGTCCATTTTTAGTAGATCGTTTAATTGATGCATAACTATTGTCCCCTGATGCTTCTTGTAATCGATAACTATTCTCAATAAGTGATCAATTTATTCTTTATGATTCAATGGTACAAGTAAATATATATTATCTTGTAATGTGTTTAATAATGTTCGACAATATTTTAAGAGAGAGTCCGCCATAGGGGACCCCAACGCCGTCGCGGAAAAAATTTTTTTTTTCGATTTTATCCTCTAAAACGAAAGGTCTAATAGAACCATAGAAAAGTCCAAAATATGAGGCTTCTAGCTCTTTCCTATAAAAAACAGCGGTTAACACAAGTTTTTGGGCTTATTTTTAGCTATTCAAAATCGGTGTTTTGAGAGTACCTCAGTATTTTTTGATTATTTCAAGAACGGCTTGACCGTTCGAGCTCGGGAACGTTTCATTCGATAGAATGCATGTTAGACTACAGATTGGCTCTATTTGAATAATAATAATATATAGTAAAGAAAGTGCTACACGTCAGACACTGTCAAAAATGCGAGAAGTGTACTATGACAGGGACCCAGTGTTGTGGACTTTTCTCGCGCTGTGTAAGTGATCCCACGCTAATTTTTTTACTATAGATAGATCTTGTTACGACACACATTTTGGTATAAGATAGTATGGGTTTAAACACTCGGAAGGCATAACAACGTGGATAATACTAATTTCAAACACACCTGTCAACAATTTATTTTTTTGGTAGAAATGGCAGAATATCTTTCAATATGTTTTAGAATTAAGTTTAAATTCATGCTTAAAATATAAAACTTGGTCACATAAGTTGTTATTAAATGATTTTTTACTAGAATCTGATGTTGTCACACTCAAGAACCTATCATTCTTGCATATAGATGAGGTATACACTCACTGTTTTAATTATAGTTCAAGAATGGTAACAGCTATCGAGGTGGGGTTTTCAGCATTTAGTAGCTGATAGTCTATGGTATGTAATGCTCCAAAAATTGTATGTGTCATGTACTTTAGAAACCTATCGATGTCACTAGAATAATAACTTGAATCATAACTGATACTCGCCCAAGTTATGCATATTCTTATTATTTGTGCAATCGGTATAAAGCGTCAAAAGAGAAACAAATATTGCGAAGCTGTCGAAGAATATGAATCTAAATTTTGGCTTGCGAGAAATAATCGGGAACAATTCATGTTCTGTAAATAGCATTACAAATCTACATATGATACTGAAACTGTGAAATTAATAATATACATTAGCTGATCAGAAAATTTTCGTTAAAAATATTCTAAGCACATATATCTATTGAGAAATAACATTTTATCGATGTATTGAAATGCCTATATCTACCCATTCTTGATTTTTAAGAAAAACTTAATCTTAGATTTATATACGTATTGAAATAATGTTAGAAGGTTTGTGAATTCTAAAAGATTGATATTACAGTGTAAATCTTTGTGACTTGTATTGTTTTTCGCAATCGAGGAATATTGATTATTGTATCAAAAGAAAAAAAACAATGGTTTTTTTGTATCACGGATTACTTCCAGATTAAAGAATGTTCTCAGCCATAGAACGTAGATAACTGAGTTGTGTGGTTTCCATTGCTGAATCAAAATCATCGATTTGTTCATCTAAAATTTCTTTTTCATCTAAATCTTGATCATCGATCATCATTTCGTCTTTGTTGTCCATTGTATTTTTATCAACTACACTATTGTTGGAGCTGCTTGGAAGTGGTGTCAATGATTGTGATTGAGATTGACTACCTTCTTTACTTCGCTTTGCTTTCAGTTTGGAAAAATATGTTTTGATTTGTTCAGGAGATAAGAAATCATTTTCATTGAAACGTGGTTGTCCATTTAATTGAGCAAAAACCATTTCCTAAAATGAACAAAAAAATTATTTATACGACAGACTCAGAATTTTATGAGATATAGATATGTGTTTGTTAAGAACATTATTTGGTTTTTCTTTAAACAGCATTGACTTGTAAGATTATGTAGTTTGTATAAAGTGTGAACATGACAAATAATATCGATTACGCCGATGGAGGATCTTTAAATATACTTTTTTGAACGATTGAATAGGAACTAAAGCACTTTCAAAGTATAAAGCCAAACAAAGCATCAAATGAAATAGCGGTTTTCTCAGAATATAAGATTGAGATAAAAAATCTTCGTTAACAGAACTATATGTTAATATATCTTGAAATAAGCTATAGAGTAGTTGGAATAAAACAAGTGGTCTTATAGGTTCGACGTTTCTATTTCAGATAAGGACAATAATGTTATTCATTTCACGCTGATTTGCTCATAACCTACCTGAGATAATGCAGCAGGATCCCATTTATTATCGGTCACCACACCTTCATTAAATGCACTCTCTAAAAAGTTGACTACATCACTACTATAGTGTGTAGGTGGTTTTTTCTGTGGTAAGGCCCATCCTTGTGATCGTATGGTTCCAATTGATGATGTAGTTGTTGATATGAGATTATTGAATTGATTCAAGGAAATTGATATACGATTACTGTCGTTGTCAATTAGTTCCTTGTAAAGTAATTTGGCTCGATCAAGTAATGGAACTGTTGTTTGCATGAAAACATGTTTCCCAATTGTCAGATGTTTTTCGAGATTAAAATATCGACGAAATTGTTTTATACATTTTGGATGAGGACAGTCAAAAAGATAAAAACCAGAAGGTAACAAGCGAGGTTGCAAAGAGAGCTGATCAACTTCCATCTCACTTTCCTCTAATGATGTGCTGTTGTTAACATTCTCTTCTTCGTCGCCATCGACATCATCTGAAAATATGAAATTGATAGCAAATGAATATCAATAAATGAATCTTCCCGCAGCTAGTCATAAACTGTCTACAAATAGAAAACTCTAGTCTTAATATTTTTTATTTGAGCATTTTGTAACAGAAAGCTTTACTAATCTTGTTTTAATGTATCAATTTCCTCCATATATGTCTGATCGATTCAAAGTTGTCAAACGCAATAGAACTCGTGCTACTTCAGACATTTCAAAGTTCCGACGATAATCATGATTAATTCGTTAGCTTCACTCATCTGCCGGATGTGATCCTGTCTTCTGATTCGATGTGATCTCTCTGTAAGTGGAAAAATCTAAATTGGCTGAGGAAAGGAAAATTTTTCAAATAGAAATTATCTTCAAAAGGGTATATTTTCCTGTGATTGAATACTAACTTTGTTCTTTCTTTTCCAGTTTCCAATTGCTGTTTGAATGTTCTAATAAAATTTCAAGTGTTTCAATATTATTGACTGTTGATTTCAGGTTAGAATATTTAATTTTTTTTCCGACACCAATTCGAAAGGCTCTCCAAGTTGTCATTGAAAATTCAAATTGAGTTTGATTGTTAGTTGATGTTGAACTTGTTGTATGAGTAACAGGTGAGAGATGAAATTCGATATTATTGTATTTGGTGATATTTGGTAGAGTACATTTTTTCTTATTTACATCGGTGACATTACAAGCAAAAATTGAAAGATGTTGGGTGGACTTGGCTGCATTAGCAAATTGTATGCAGTTGCAACAATCGTTTTTTTCATTTACCGATCGTCGTACTTCTCCCTTCATTACTGCAGCCTTGCGATCACACGCACATTTTCCTATAAAAAAAAGACGGGTCTTGAGCAGAGAAAAGTAAGACAAGTGAGCACCAAATTAGTAACTCGTAGAAATCAAAGTGTCCCTACCTTGCTTCTAAGACTTTTGCTAACTCTAGATAAAAGCTCAAGGTGCATATCGCGACTACTTTTCTGAATTTGGCCGACTGATTAACATCTGAAGAATAGCCTGACAAAACTGCAATCAATACTTTACAACAACGAACATATATTTAGCAAGAAATTTACTCTCAAAGTTTCAATAATCATTAGCTAAATATTGCAATAGTGCACTTGACTCATTATGTATATACCATGCATTTAGTTAAAGTTCTTTCATAGAAAACAGGTCTAACTGATATCCTTATAATACTCATTTATGGTGCACGGATTAGCTCTCAAGCACCCACTTTTCAATGTTTTCGTGAATAACAATTAGATTAGTGCTCAATTTGTCCTATTTTTATCACTCCAATTGAATATCTTTTTATACCTGATTGTGACTCTGAAAAATCAATACGACATATTAAAACACCTGTTTCATTATATATTTTTTTGATTGATAATAATAATTCAGAGCCATGGTAACAGCCCGCGTTGTCACACCTTAGATAAACTTTCTCAAGCTTTGGATTTTCTTCTCGAAGACGCTTGAGAACGTCAACTAAAATGCTGACAACGGTTTTTCCTGTTTGACCACAATAATTGAACACGTGGCACATTGTTCGATGTTCAAATGATTTAGCAGAAGGCGTCGTGGTAGATGGTTCTTTGACACGAATAATATGTGTTAAATGCCACGGTAGTCCTTTTTTACCAAACCATTCGCTTTGTGATTCTCTGTACTTCAATTGCAGCCATTTCATTGCCCAATCGATTTGCAAATATACCTGTAACATGAAAACAAACATTAGATTAGATGAACCAATAATATTTATTTTATGGCAGTAAGTTTTGTTCGACGAAACTTTCCTTCCCTTGAGTAACATCAATTATACAAATAGACTTGATCAGACGACATTTCAAAACAATCAGACTGAATCAAGACATCTGTACAACGATGAAACATGAGAGTAAGGATTATTATTCTTTTGTAGCTAAAAGGGAATCATGTTTGGGTAGAATATTCGTGACGTATGATTAGTTCATAGAATACTCATCTGTTGTGCCGCGCAATACCACCCACGTATAGACTATGTTTGTTATATTTCCATCAGCACAATAGGTCATTCTGTTTTATCTAGGTTGTAATCCACCGTTCACAGGTTAACGCCGATTCACATTTCTAAAAAATTATCGGATAAACTTCTGAGAGATGTTACTTACACTTGTTGCATCCAGTTGTTCAAGTACATATTCTTTTGCAGCTTCTTGATGCACTGTTCGCAGTTGATGTTTCTTCCATTCTTGTATCAGTTCATATTGACGTTTGTATATTGTCTGATAGCGAATACGTTGATTATCAGATAGATGAGTATTATTGTCAATCAATGTCTTAATATGGTTGAGGGTAGTGTCTAATAGGACACAATCTTCGCAACTAAAATAAAGGCGAACAGTATCGTATATTGATAAAAAGAGATTTTCTTTCAAACAAAAACTACACAGTAATCGTATTATATGAACGATCAAATAAGCAATAAAATAGTATTAATTGATAAAATTTAATGAAACTTATCATCAGTCGTTATTTGTTACAAATATTCAAATCTGATTTGATGAAAAACATTTAGAGAATATTTACCTTAGCATATTAATAATTCAACAAACAACTGAATATAATTTTCCGAAAAGATAAAGATTCAAAGCGATTTTTTGGTTTAAAAAAAGAAAACGAATGTTAGAAAGAGTAAAGCTTTGCTATGGGGAAGTATACCAGCAGAATGAACTCACAAAGTGGCAAAATATCCATTCGATTTGATCAGTGGTGATCTTAGGAGCACATTTTTTACTTGAACCACAATCAAAATATATCGTTGTTACTTTTTGTCCTTCGACATTGTCATCTATTTTGTTAGGTTAAAGAGTTTCCTGATTTTTCTTATTTTAATTGAAACAAAAAAGTTTTTCTTTTTATTCTATATTGGAAGGATTTCAGATGTATTCGAAAAACTCTTCTTTCGTTTAAATAAGAGACAGAATTTGAAATTATTACTTACCGATCATTGTGATCGTGGTCGTCACAGATACTACACCAGTCATTTTCACTTGGATCGGACAGCGCATAGTTTGAGCAATGATCAGCAACTGAAGAGCTTTTGACAACATGTAGTTTGTACTCAAGTTTCAAATAATTGCGACATTGTCGTAAAACTTTTTTCAATTGACTTATCTCATCGACAGATACTCCTTAATAAAAGGAAAAAAATAAAGAGTGCGCATACAAAACTTTGAGTATTTACGAAATGCAGCTAATTCTTCACAGACTGTTGTCAGAATGTCAAATGCATTAGATCCATTCGTAGAATAAGAATCAAGACCTGCAAGACTCTTTCTGATTGATGCAGAACAGCGTTTGAGTATATCGAATAAAGTTGTATCACCTAATGGTATGAAACTTCCGTCAGTTGTTTCATCACAAAAAGAATAATATTGTCGAATAATACGTGAATGAGTAGTATTTCTAATCGTATTGGGAACATCGAATTTTTCACCGGTTGTCAGCTTCAAATGTTTAATACCGAATGGTACATCTACTGTAATTGCTGGTGAGAGAACAAATTCAAGAAAATGGAGAAGTTTCGATTCATCATAACGTTCGATTGTTTTTGTTTTATTTTGAACTGGTGCTCCTCTACCTAGAACAAAATCTCCTGTCCTTACTGCCGACAAAAACGCTTTCATACTTACCACTGTTATAAGCATGATTTCGAGCTTCTTTGATCAAATCATCTGTAACACCGGGAAAATACGCTTTGAGTGTCGATCTTGGAAAATCCGTTGCAACAATTGCAAGAATTTGACGTTTTGTTCCAAAATAATCAGTATTTGAGTAAGCATTCGAAAGTGATACCATTGCATTGTTCATGTCACTAAAAGTTATACACATATGTTAGAACCGGTCAAAAAAAGTGAGCTCCAAATTTGGAGTTTACGTGTGGAGCTCACTTTTTTTGACCGTTAGAACCACATGGTACCAACTGTAAAAATATTTTTTTAATAAATTAGCTATTTCTTTTAGGTGATGACAAGTCCAGAATATAGTGTCAAATACCTTAATGTAATCGAAGTCAAATACTAGTTGTTTATACACCGCACCCAATGCCTTTTTTAAAGAAACAATGGGAAAAACTATAACTGCTACTATACTTGAAACTGTGTGTATTTCTAATCATGAACTGCTATCTTGTCTATCACTGGATTAGATTCTATATATCGAAATTCCAACAGTCACAGTTTTCTAAAGCATCACCTAGTCCTTTGTCCATAATATTAAGCTAAAATTTTTCCCTAACGAGCACGTTCGTGTATGGATGACTATGGATCTAAGTAGGATAGATATTGCGGCAAGTTTTACTTTTGATTTGTATATGAGTTCGATTGATAATTGTCTATAATATTGTTCCATATTTCTTCAGCATCATCTTCAAGAAGAATTTTCAATGTATGTTGTAAAATTTTCAAGGTTTGAGTTTGAACATTGCGTCGACCATGTTCAGTAAGTGTAGTCAAAGATGAATGTTTTTGTACTCGACCTGTAAATCCGGTTTCAATGAGACATCGTTTTAATGTTTCAAAACTATCTTGACGTTGAGAATTGGTAAAGTGTTCGAATTGTGGTTCATAATTGCTATGCTGTGATGCTGGTTCAGATGGACTGGGAAGATAGACGATGTTTTCGTTGTAGATCCAATCTAAAAGACTATAATTATGCAGATTGTTTCGCAGGAGTTTGAATTATATATAGAAATATAAGTACTTAGAAATATTGTCTCATTCGTCTTTTTATATTGAGAACTCGTACTAAGATGACCCATCTCTAATAACGTTAATAAATAAGGTTTATCACTTTTTTGGTATACAATTTCAAAACACCACGTTTATTTTTCCTGATCTGATTTTAAAGTGTGTGGAAATGCGTTATATACGTCAAATACTCACCGAACCAATGGTCACTAGTAGAACGCATGTTATCCATATCGACTGATGCTTCAAAATGTTTCCGACACGAACTGCATACAGATTTTCCATATACAGCCCAGGTATGCATTAGATACCCTTCTTGCCATACTCGTAAAGCCATTGGTTTGGTCACTGATCGAAGAGAAGATGTACCAGTTGTGGGACATTGCCGAACTGCCTTGCATAATTTACAATTGTCTTTGTGATCATATGATGTCAAATATTTATAATGATTTTCACAAATTTTATATTGGCATAAATTTCTATGCTCTAAATGAAAAAACCCGGCTCGGTATAACAAATATTCGAGCATCGAGCGGAATTCTTTTGGTGGAGTAGTTGCAAACAGTAGAGCACTAAGTTCAGTTCGATCACCACCACAAGATACCTATAAAAAAGAATAGCTTATAGAATACAATAGTGTTAACAAAACAAAATAACTACAGGTATGTGATCGGCTTCAAAAAAACATGACTCGACCGAATAATCCATTATTTTGATAAGAAAAGTATTCGAATAATCTAGAACTAAATTTAAAAATCGATAAAGATTAAGTTTGATTCAGATTCAACAAAAGAACAGCCAATATACCTGTATGTACAGGGTTGGAAAAAATATTATTCCAGGGGGGTAACGCCATAATTTCAAATAGGTGATATGATGAATTTTATACCAAATGAAAGCCCGTGAAAAATGGGATTTATTGATGCTAAATAG